GATTTTACCATTTGCTTCTGTACTTATATACGTGAGAAAGGGATGAATTATATCTACATACTTTGGATAAAAATCGAGTCGAGGACACGTTTCTGCAGTTTTGCAAATGTTCCTCTCTGTTCTTGTTCCTGCAAATAGCGCTCGTGTATAAAGGTGCAATTTTAGGTATAGAGTGACGTTTGAAAAGCCAGGGTCGTTTTATTGCTAAAAATTAAGAATCAAAAAAGCATCATGAAAAAACAAATCATAAAGCATATGCTGAATTATATAATATATATGCGCAAATTATATAAACTTATACATATTTTTATGAATATTACACTACAGCTAAGTTTCAAACGAGCTTCGATAATCGATAATCAATGTGCAGTTGCAATTGCCAAAAAAACTTCACTGTACTGTACTGTTTTGACTTAGAGCAAAAAAAAAAAAAAAAAAAAAAAATGGAAATATCAAACTATCGTAACGTGAATATCTCACGTTCAATTCAATTGAACGTGTACATTTTGCAAATTTGTGCAAGCTATAAAAATTAAGAAAAACAAAGATCAAAGACGAGAGAACAGGTTATATGTATGCAAATTGATCGATAATATCGAGATCTTTGAACAATATCACCATTCTCGATTCAAAGGTACCTGAAGTTGTTTCATTGAACGTACGCGCCAAAACTAGTGATTACACGTATTTCGTTTAGCGATTTATTTGATCGTGATGAGAAAAGTGCAATGAAAAATGACGAAGATGATTCGAAAAAAGCGAGTGCTCCAAGTTAATATCGTTGATAAAGATAAGTGTTTTAAGAATTAAGTTAAAATGTAAAAGATAAAGATTGTGCTCCGGGTTAACGAGCACCACGAACAAATCATATTGTTGATTCTGTTTCTCGTTACCGTAACGTGCTATGTCGCATGAGATATTGGTGCAATAATTTTTCCCTTCTCCTTTTTTTGTTTTTCTTTTTGTTGTGACGTGTGTCTAATAGGGATCAAAAGAACTAATTTTCCGTACTGAGGAATATCAGGTAAAGTACCATCACCGTTATTTGTAGTAAATCAATTATTACGAATTATATTGATATTTTTAAAATTAGGCGTGAGTTACTTAACGATTTTGCTTTAGCTTATTATTTACACAGATCAACAATCATTTAATGATAAATCAGAGCAATTCGAAAGTATCATTTCATAGTTTCTTCCTCAAGACAAAGAATAACTTGTAAGAGTTATCAAGAGTTTTTGGTTTTACAATATATTTATGAACAGTAGCATTTCGTTACTGGCTACGTATTTCTTTTCTTCAATGAATTTGAGTGAGATACATTATTTTACATAAACGTAGTTTAACTGAACAAAAGGGAAGTTTCTGAAAAGAATTCATTTGTAAGATATCAATCAATAGGCAATTATAGCATGCGACATCTGTAGTCGCAATTATATAGTAAAACAAAAGTAAAGGAAAACGCCAGGATTCTTTTCATTTATTCTTGTTCGGTCAAACAGTAACGCGAGAGGTTCGTTTTATGAACTTATATGTTTTCGACATGGTTAATTAAGAAAGCAAAATTCTAGCCAATTAACGCGATGCTATTGTAGTTTTTGATTGTATGTTCTGTTGCAAGGATAGTTCCTACTGTTCTTCTGATCCTCAAGACGATGTCGTCTCGTGTTAAATCTTGCAAAAAGTTTGAAGTGATTGATTTTTCCAGATTTGAGAAACAGACTAGAGCAAAATATTTAAATAATTCACGCATATTCAACGGAATCATTCCGTGGACGGAATTTTTAACTATTCGATCTCCGCGTGACTCTTCTATCGTTTTAGTGTAATAGAAAATTGTATATACATTTGTATACACATTTGTATGCCTATCTTATAGTAAGATTCAGCATATTTAAATGAAAAAAAGAAAAAAGAAAGAATCACGTTTCGAAGATGCTGAGTAAGCAGAAGCGTTTTTCGTGAGCGCACAAAGAGCTTTATAAAGAAAAAAAAAAGAAAAAAAAATATATATATATATATATAAATATATTATACCAGAAGCTTTCGTCTACTGTAAACATAGGCGAGCTTCTGCTGCCGATTGATCGTTTCTGCGATCTAAGAAAACGGTTACGACGAATAGTAATCTGATCCCGATATTTAATAATGTTATTAACGATATTAATATTAATATATTCACTATTGTTTTAAAATAGTCTTCCATAATTTATTCGTCAACCCTTTCATTATATCGTGTAATATATTGTCTGAGATATTATATATATCATGTAATATATCTGAAATATCTATTTAATTATAAAATATATATAAAGAAAAAAGTAAAATTCATTTTTATTTTAAATTCGAGTTACATCTCACATTAAAATAATAAAAACGTCTAATTGAATGTATATCTTTTGTTTTATTTGCTTCGTCGCGACCAATTCTCAATGTACAAACATTAAATAGATCTTCGAATTTAAACGAATATATAATTAGGCCTTGAAAAATTGCGTCAAAAATATTATATTTACGATAATCGACGACGCTTTTTCTTTATTTCTTCAAATATTTCTAGATCTTTCTTCTTTGGAAGAATACGTTTTCATATAGTATACATCTTGAGCTATTATTCACTGATACGTATTTTGTACGTAAAATTCCTACGATTTTCTTATAATTAACAATATAAAAAAATACGAATAACGAAATGTCTTAAATCGATTCATTGAAAGACATCCTTTGATGCCTTGACACATTATATTGCATGCCAAATAATAAGGCACTGTCACTAATAATCTTATTCGCTGACGAACGGACGGATAATCTGTTGTGGTAATATGGTTAATAAAATTCTTATGAAGGCGCCTGGTGAGATCACCTACTCTATAAGGAAAACTATATCTATTCATGCTGATAAAAAACGTATATATTGTATATATAGATGTAGTATTCCTTAAGTAAATAAATTCACTCAAGTGATGAGAACCATCAGTACGTTTGACGAGACTAAAAACATAATTTATACCCACATGAGTTATCTATCACAATGTCGACACGTGAGTTTTTCTCATCGTGCTAATATTACATAAAGTATAGCTTTTTTTAACATGTTTGGCAGTGTAATACCACTACATTTGTGACATGTGTTGAACTGTCATTCTTATATTATGTTTTCCAATCTTAGTAAGATCTTCCTTACTCTGATTATTCAGTTCATTACAATCTTTAGACACAATTATAATGGAAATTATTCTATTCTAGATGTGCGGACGTATAAATGATTCTTCAAAGTTATCCTAATTACAAATTATTCGTTCATATCGTTATATCATACATTCTCTGTACACTGATGTATTATAAAAAAAAGTCTTGTTTTACTCGATATATTAATAGATATATCCATATGATTAGGTACAATTTAAAATTGTACGCAAGTGCATCTTACATATAATAATAACAACGAGTTCTTTTTCGCTTTCTGTTAACATCTATTAAATTAAGAGCCAACCGAATACTGAGATCTCGGTTACAAGAAGAATTAGTAGATGTAAAAACATTTCTCTTCTCGAAAACGTTATAAACGTTTCGCGTCTTTCTTCTTGAGTTCCAGTTGCTTAAGTATTAAATTCGGTGGGCTGAACAACAATAATAATCAATTTCATACTATTTTTCACCTAGAAGTCCTTTTCTTTTCGTCATATCCACGTAGCAAAAATTATAGTTTACCAAGTGGACAACACTTCTGGCAGTATTTCTTTTTACATTTACAATACTTGTTGTATAAAAAGTAGTTTCACTTTTCATCAGAAACGGTTTACATTGCCGTTTCTAAAGGCTGACTTTTGCTTCGCGCCTCAGCCGAGAGTTGCGTTAATTCTGTTGGCTCGTTCACCAAAAACACGTCCAAGTTAGTCTCTAGCAGGGTTTCGCTCTTCGAGCGTAGAGGCTTCTCTTCTCCCGTGTCCAAATTGGTTTCTAACAACGCGTCACTTCTGGGTCTGTCCTCGTGATAATGATAAGGATGAGGTGGTATCGGAGGATTGAAGTTCGGAGCATATTCCGGCACTGGCTCTGATATCTGACTCGGTGTGAATGTTGTATTATCGTAACTGCGTTTCGAATCGTAATCCATCGTACTGTAAGACGCTGATGCTTCGATATCGCGTTTCAACTCGCTGATAGAGTCGGTTAACGCAAGACTGGAATTTAATGGAAGTGTAGA